AGAGAGGTTGAGAGTTTGATACCCGGTCAGGGCACACATCTGGGCTGCATGTCCTATCCTTGGTTGGGGTACATACTGAAGTCTCTCTCTCTCTCTCTCTCTCTCTCACTCTCTCTCTCTTTCTCCCTTCCGTAAAAAAATCAATAAAATATATTTTAAAATAATAATAATAATATGGAGCTAAGAAAAGGAGTCTTGGAGTTTTGCTCCTGGCGCTGCTACTAGTAACAGTTAAGACTCCAAAAACCTAATAAACTACCTATTTCTGATTCTGTAAAATCAGAATGTTGTTTTCTTTTTTTTATGGTCCAATTGAGCTTTGAAACTTTATGGTTTTACAGAGAAAGACAATCTTTACATTCCTTAGCCCAGCTTTCATCTTTAGCTACTCCCCAGCTGTTTCTTCCTATCATGATCTCTATGACTTACTGAACAATGTTTCTCAGGCGTTTTCCTCTCTGAAATTCCTTTGTGATCTAATAACACCTCTAGTTCGCAATCACTCCCACTAGCAAGCTTCCTTGATACACTATCACACATTCTAGCCATGGTATATTACATAAAATAAATTCCAGCATTAACTTTCTGATTCTCAATGTCAAAAAAACGAAAACCAACTCTTCCTGTAATGAAAAAAGTTGTATCATTCCTAGTGTGGCGTCCTCACCGCCCCCCATCTTCCCACCCCAACAAAGCTTCAGAACAAAGCTTAAAGATCATCCTTTCAGAAAACAATAACGCTCCTTGTACCTGTAGAGGTTAATATCTGCAAATGACTTGCTATTATTGATGGCGAATACACAGAGGAAGCCTTCCCCTGTCCTCATGTATTGGTCCCTCATAGCACTGTACTCCTCTTGTCCAGCTGTATCCAGTATATCCAATAGACAGGTTTCACCATCTATAACCACCTGTTTTCGGTAAGAATCCTGGGGGAAAGGGGAGAGGGAGATTCCACTTTTACTAAAAATCACAGGAAATGCAATGCTACTGCCAAGGTTAAGCAAGCTCCTACCCAAGTCCATTTCGCTCTCTCTGGTTTGTCCCTCAAACTGCTAATAGTCAATTACAAACAAAATACTTAATGTTTTCCCAGGAAAAAAATCCCAAATGCTATATTGCAGAAAGGAAAATGTGAACACTCAGTTCCTGGAAAAGGTGAACAAATGTGGTCATTCAAAAGGCAGCTCTACTGCAGTTGGACTGGGGTTAATCACAGTGCATGTCACTAAGGTGTGCACTGAACGTTTCGTATTTGAGTTGTTTATTGTACGTTTAAAATTCTAAACAGACCTCCACCAATTTAGAACTTGGCCCTGGTTACAGTGCCACTTGTGCTTGTGACTAAACACAAATATTTTTTATTTTAAACAAGGTCATAATACCAAATTATTTTTTCTCATCATGGCAGATTGTACCTTTGGGGAATAATCCTCAATCAATTTCCTAAAGGTTACAAACAAGATATAATTCATTTTTTAAGTAGATCATATAAAAACACTTTCAATTGGGCTCGAAGGCAGACATTTTTACTTGTATTTTAATGCTTAAATCCTGGGAATTCAAGTCAAATAAAATAACCTCACCATTCTTCGTAAAAGATCTGGCTCCAAAAACAGAATTCAACCTAATTTCCCAGCCCATTAATCAGTTAGTTCCTTTGTAACTCACTTAATTGCAGGACTGTACTTTCAAATTAAATAGAATTTACATCACCAAAACTTCTTAGAGCATGAAACATAGTTAAGTGTCTGTTCTAAGATGAGCAAAATAAAAATTATGAAGATAGGTTTTAGTCAAACTATTTTATGATAATAGAAGTCAGAGAAGTAGTTATCTCCTGGCAGGGGAAGAGAGTTTACTGACTGAAAAGGGCATTTGAGAACTCTCTGGGGCATAGGAAATAGTATATTTTTTAATCTGAGTGGTGGTTATTATGTAAGTATATATATATGTTTAAAAAGTCACTGAGCGGTAGATATAACATTTACGTATTTTACTGTATGTAAATTACCCAGCAATAACTAAAACTCTGAAAAATATTAAAAGGTTCTATTATCACTGAAGCTGTTAAGCCTAAAATAAAGTTTTGCAAAGAACTAATGAATAATTTTTAATAAGGTTATATTAGAGTTAGATTGCATTAAGTACCCAGTGGCTGAGTGGTAGGAAGGCCAGGGTGTGGATTAAAACACAATAATCTCTAGAGTTACACATTTCTAAATTGAATAAAATTACAAGGCCCTTTACTGAAAGGGTGTATTTTGCCACTCACTGAAGCCAATCTTTTAACATGAAGTCCCACAAAAACAATAGGATCTTTCAATAAGTACTATTTATCCAGAGCTTTACCATTCACAAAAGAATTTAAACACATTTGATTTTCCACTTCATCCCTGTGTGGTAGGCAGGACAAGCTTATAGTGATTTAATAGATGAAGAAAAATAAGGGTGAGAGAGAGAAAGTGATTGCTCAATATCACATAACTAAACAAAATCAAACAGGGACTGAAATCTTAAGCACCGTAACTCAAAATGTTCTTTCTACGCCAACCACAGTGTTGGCTGCTTCAACAAGCTAAGAAATTACAATTGCAGAACCACCAGATCTCTGAATCCTTTATCTCCATCCTGCTATATTATTCAGACAATCGCTCTACCTCTGGCCTGTGCTTTTTTTAAAATAGTTGTCATATACGAAGAAACTAAATGAGACCAACACGGAGTTTGCAGGTTTACAGAACTGTTAACACTGTAACTTTTTTGAAAATCTTCAGCAGCTCATAAACATGCACTCTTGTCCACACACATGGAAAGCTTTGCTTTATGTATGACCGAACGCAGTACCCAAAATAACTTTCCACTTTCTTTCCTGTCGATTCCCTTCGCTAAAGGGCAAGGGCGAGGGTAAACGGAAGGAAAAGAGGTGGGGGCAGCGGGCGGCCGCCGGGCCTCACCTCTATGGTGGGATCATATTCGTCTACAAAGTGGTTCTGGATTAGCTGGATTGTCAGCGCGCTTTTCCCAACACCACCTGCTCCAACCACCACCAGTTTGTACTCGGTCATTTCACAGCAGCAAGAACCTGCGGGGAAGCAGCAATGAGGGTTAACCCGAGCGCCACCTCTACAGCGCTTCAGAGCTTTCTATAATCGATAAGTGGCTAAAACCGGCGTCTGAAATGTATCGGCCCCATGCACGTGACCCTCTCCACTCGGTTCCCAGTGATTCAGGAATGCAAAACCACGAGAGACCGTGGGTCTCGGGATGCTGAGTTCGTCTTCGAGCTACCCCCACCTCATCTATTTTTCAACAGCCCGTGGGCCCCGCCCTCGGCCTAAGGTACAGGAACCCCCTTCCTGCTCCTCCCGCAGGGCTTCTCGGCGGCGGCAGGCTGCCGTCAGGCCGCCCTTCCCCTCCAGTCCCCCACCTGTCCGCAGGATCTCCCCGTGGGGCTCGAAACCAAGGACCCCCGCCCAGGCCTTTGTCTCTGCTCGCGGATTCCGCCAATAACCAGACGCCTGCAAGCTCCAAGCCCAACGCTACACACGCCGGAGCCTCACCTCAAGCTCCGGTGCCTCCGCTGCGGACGGTTTTAGAACCACCACCAGGAAAAATGTTGGAGACCCCGGAACCGCCATGAACAGCCCCCACCAGGGAGCGGCACTTCCGGCCCCGCCCGCTACGTAATCAGTCGGCGCCCCGGGCGCCCGAGTCCCCGCCCCGGCCACGTGGGCCTCCGACCGGAGAGTCAAGCTGCTGGCCGCACCCAAACCCGGCCCTCCCACTCAGGACATTTCAATAATGAAAGCGCTAGGTGCTGGTGTCTCAAAAATCAGTAAAACTTTATTCGCTTCCATTCTTTCGCCATTAACAGAAAACTGGAGAAAGCAAAAATGTTTTGTGTTTACAAAGATAAATGGCCTCTTTACCCAGAGAAGATCAAAACCTCAAATGACAACGGGGAAGATAAAAGCGCCCTCCCCCACATCCCCTGAGCTGACCCTTGTCATCTTAGACAAAGCTTCCAGTCCACTGGCCAGGGATCCTGCGTGTGGCCAATTCAAGATGAAGGCCAAGAAATCAGACCAATCCGTTCCCGTGATATAAAGTTGAACAGAAGCTACACCAAGGGTCAAGCGCCTGCATGTTACAGGACACAGGAACCAGGCGGCTACTTATAAAAAAAACAAGATTCATTTCAGGCACAATTTTTTTATTTTTTTGTTTGTTTTGTTTTAAATCATTAAAAGAAACTGGGTCCTAGAAGCTGCAGTGATCTAAGCAGCAGCAAGTTTGTGCATTCGTCGTTTAAATACGTTTAAATTATCACACTGCTGGCACACCTCATTTGCATGAAATTCTGCACCACACATACTAATTGTGGAAAATTTACCCCCCACCCCATCCCAGGGGAAAAAAAAAACTACTTTGGAAGATAATTCTCATTGAAATCTACCCAAAATTCGTTTAAGTGGACTGTGACAAGATTATAAATGATATGAAAAATAACATTTTAACATTTGGCCATCAACTTAAGAAAATGGTTTGCCTATACAAATTTTTAAATTTTTAATATAGCCTACCCTCATATGGTCCTCAGAATTAAAGCATAATGAACAGGAAAGAAAAGGAAAAGAATGCAACTGAGTGCTAAGGCAGGACATCTTGCCAGAAGTAATGAAGGTAGAATATATGCTAAATATCAAGTGCAGAATTTCATACAGCCAACAAGGTAACAGTCTATATTTTTCACTTACACGGGCGAAGTGGATTTTGCAATTACCAGTTGCGTTAAATGCACCAAATAAAGCTCCTAAAATTGATACTACAAGGCGCCACCTTAAGTTTTCCAGGCTGCAACTGTGCATAATTTTAAAATGGTTTTCTTAAATTTATTTATTTTTTTAAACATAACATGAGGAAGGTGTTAAAACTGGTGTAATAGCTCAATAGAATAAGTATTCCAGATTTTGGGGAGGGATGAAGAGGGAGATATTCAGAACCCTTCACCAGAATCCCCCCAACTTGATCATCGTGGATTAATGATGTGCTTTGTGGATGTGGTTAGTCAATGACACCAGCCTGACGGATCTTTCTTTCTACACCAAATCCCTGTGAAAAAATAAAATTGCAGTTAATGACCTCAGGGTATGACAATCACAGCACATTCACAATTCCAAAGTGAACTTCAAAAGCATTACTTTTAATCATCTTAACCACTACCAGTTTTTTCTCAGAGGAAATCTTAAATAGTAAGCCCTCCTGATCTATTACCTACAACTAAGTTCAAAGTATCAGGAAAACAAAGAAATGTGCTTCTTACTGGTAAACAACCATTATGTTGGGGACTGAACCAATATGTAGGGAAGAGTCCTATTAGTTATAAGCAATACTAATGCTCCGTAAGCGCTCTGAGATATGCTAAAATAGGACCTCAAGTATCATGCTGGTCTGTCACATCACACCCTTCCCTCCCCCAAAACCTTGTACACCCTCATACCATTGAGTTATCTGGTCCCCTTGGCTGACGAAGAACCATTAGGCGAGGAGCACTGGCATCATCCAGAGTGATGTTCTTCAAGCGATTGACCAACCTATCAGGTCGTGGAGCTGCAACAGCCTTGGGGCCCTCGCTGTAACCAAGTCAAGAAGTGAGAAGCAGCAACACGTGGTGGGACGAAGCAAGTACTTAGAGAGGAGTGTATTTTCCACCTAACTACCCAAGTGACTCAGTTTTAATGAGGGGACTCTTGCCTCATTTAGCTAGCAAGACAGGACAGACAAGTTTGTTTATGTTTTTATTCCCAACTCAAGGTTTATTCCTGCATAGGAGCTGGAAGAATCGTTTGGGTGACGGTCATCTCCAGACTGGTCTGCATCCAGAAAGACCAGTTTCACAGACACATAAAACGAGGTAGTGGATGTGAAAAACCTTAGAAGAGTTATAAATAAAGAAATATTTCCAGAGACTCCCAGCTTCTAGCATGGTAACAATGTTATTAAAAAAAACTCATACACAAAAACAAAAAAACACAGAGTCAGAACTGCTATCTATAAAATTAGACTTTTAAGCACCATATAACTCAGAAATGACTTAATGGAAAAACAAACAAACAAACAAAAACCCACACAAAAAAAGCTAAGCAGAATCCTTTAAGAACAAGGACTACATCATCATTTTATATTTAAGATCTATTACATAGCAAGTGCCTAATTAACATTCCACTGGGTCAGATTTATGAAACTAAAAGTTTACACAATGAAGAATAGAGGTAAAAGATACGAAGTACCAAGAAATAACCAAGTGGCAGTAGAAAATTAAGAAAAGCAGAGATGGAAAAGTGAAGAAATGTAATAATGAAGAGAGTGCAAGTTGTCCAGGGAGATTGTTTTAATCCAACAACAAAAACTCACCAGACTCGCCAAACATTACAAGCGCTGCACTTGCCAGTGCGCTGATTAAGAATCACTGAGAATTCCACCTCATCTCCAGCCTGTAGCTCAATGCCATCCTGAACTTCTTTCACATGGAAAAAAAGCTTCTTGCTATCTCCTACTTCATAGTTAATGAAGCCAAACTGAAATTTAAAAACAAAAATACACATCACAGTGGTAGAGCGCCTCACTTTGAATGAAGCACACACAATGTGTGACCCTAACAAGAAGGGGTTTACAATACTGATGCTCCAGTTCAGCTGCCTGTGCATTCTAAGTCAGCATAACTTGCCAGGGCAGAAATATAAATCTGAAATCACTGCCCTGACTATTATAGCCTGGCTGAAACAAGTAGAAAGGCTGCCCTGTGCCTCATATATGAGCTAAATTTTTAAATAATGTAAAATCTTTAGGGAGCTGTTACATACACATATGCACTGTTTTCATCTATTCCAGAATTATTAAGCTAGGTTATGGTATAAAAAACAGCCATACAAAGTATTTTATTTACAATACTGATATTTAAAAATGTCCTGGACTCAGAGGGATTTTCTTGAGATCTCAGTACCAGGAAGAGATTTGTTTGCCCTAAAGCTTATTTTATGAACACTTCTACACATGGTTTCTTTCCTTTTGTGGCTTACAAAAGAATCTCTGACCTTTAAATCTTTCTATTCTGAAAATCCCACTCTAAGTTTATTTTCCCCATCATGTAATGTAGTTATCAATACTTTTTTTTCTAATATCACCCCCCCCCAATGTAGTTTTCTTCATGTTTATACAGGCTAGCTCAAATTATTGAAAAAAGGGTAAAGTAGAATTTAAAACCAGATGAATGTTAATCAATCTCCCTTGGCTGAAAAAATTTCAAGGTTTGGTTACTATCTGGTTACCAATTCATAAAAGGATCAATTTCAGATGCAGAAATACTGCCACTTACCTGATCTTTCACACATTCCACAGTGGCCCTACGCAGAGGTGTGATGTTGTAAGCCATAGTCTGTGCATTTTGGCCCAGGACACACAACTGGAATTTGACACTCTCCCCTTTCTGCAGGCAATCCCCTTTGTTGGCCATTCCAACTATGCCAAATGGATAGACCTCACCTTTCATATCCCCTGTAGGGAGAAAAAGGTACAAAGACTAAAAGCTAGTATTTCACAACAGCCCTCTGCTGATGATCCTAATAAATTTATAAAAGGTTCCAAAAAGTATTTTATTTTTGCCCCTGAGATATTCTACTTTTAAAGCTTCAATGAAATCCTAAATACTACAATGAAAGCAAACATGAACCTGTAGCTCATTACCTTAAAAGCTAGTGAACAGTTTTAAATGACATTTATGAAATTAAAAACAATACTATCACTTACAATCTCATCACCTAAATATTGGAGCTTTTTAAGCACTAAGGGTTGCCAATATGACCCCCTGGATTATCTTCTTCTCAAGGTCACCTATGAGCCAACCAAAGTATTCCTGACCCATACTCAACTAGGTATTAAACAGTAAGCCAGGTACATGCGAAGACAATGTAAATAAATTTCTTTGCCATTCTACTTCCTTTCTTTGTTCTGATTTTGACACCCTCTAATCAACAGGCACCTTTTTCTTAAATCAGGGCTCAGCACACTCTCTCTAGTGCACCGTCCTGTACACCAAAAGGTTATGGGCTCAATTCCGGTCAGGGCAGCACATACATAGGTTGCAGGTTCAACCCCAGTCTGGGCACAATAGATGTTTCTCTCTGACATTGATGTTTCTCTCCTCTCACTCCTCCCTGCCTTCCTCTCTCTAAATCAATAAAGAGTATTCCTTGGGTAACAATTAAAAAATAAAAGAGCTAGATGGTAAATATTTTAGGCTTATAGGTCATTCTATAAGTCACAACTACTCAACTTTGCTGTTGTAGTCAGAAAGCTACCAAAGACAATACAGGGATGGGCAGAGTAGTTTTATAGTTGTTTGAAAATACAATAAACTGTGTTTCACATATTCATGACTGTAAACCCACTTTTGCTCACCTTATATGTAAACGAGTGGACAGTTGTTTCAAAAAAAAAACAGCCCCAGATGGTTTGGCTCAATGGATAGAGCGTCAGCCTGCAGACTAAAAGGTCCTGGGTCCGATTCCAGTCAACGGCAAATGCCTGGGTTGCCGGCTCGATCCCCAGTAGGGGGCGTGCAGGAGGCAGCTGAACAATGATTCTCTCTCACTGACGTTTCTCTCTCTCCCTCTCCCTTATCTCACAAGTTAGCTGCCCATGTCCCTAAGGCCCTTTTCGGGGTATGGTATCATCATGGCATTAGTTTAAAAGACTGGTTTGCTTTAAATGAACTCTTATTTGGAGGTGTGTGCAGTGGGCTACTGGTTCTACGTAAAACACAAATTCCTAAGAACCTCATGAGGTAAAGGAACATGTTATGAAGGTTCATTTATTTCTATGACCTACTCTTCCCCAGTCTATGTTCTCACTGACTCAGACAACACAAGATTTCCTGTTTGTAAGCCAGGCTATCATCTTTGGTTGTAATTTCAAACCCTCTCATCAACCCAATTATTTTGGTAATTTTGCTAAACTAATTATTCACTGTTCCCTACTATCATTTCTATTGCAAACTTATTTTACACACAACGTGGATCTTCTTGGGTGGTAACTGTTTGTGGTGAGGTGTGGCATCAGAATTCAGGGAGTTACTAAAGATGGGGAGAAAAAAGCAGAAAGTGGAAAATATAGGGAGTCTTGGCTTAGAGAAAAGTAGTTCGTAAAATTCCCATGGAGCCCTAAGTATTAAGGAATAGATATAGTGAACTTTCACAGGAAGCAAAAATGTTTATA